AATTTTTAAACAATTTAAAAACCCCCCCCCCCCCATTTCATGGTGTTCGGAATATCTGAATTTGTAACAAAATCCCCACTCAGAATCATATTTTATTAAAATATTAAAAGTTTTTATCATATTCTTGAAAAATTATGGTGTTCTTTCAAAAAATGGAAGAAAAATCATTTCTAGAACGAAGTATCTTTTAAACTTTTGTGATTTCAGAATTATTATTTATTTTTTTTATTTTATTAATTTAAAATTCCAGCTGAAGCAAGCCAGTCATGGGCAAATTTTTTTTATTCGGAAGTGAGAACAGAAAAATCAGAAGTATTTCTTTCCTTTCTGATGAACAAGAAAAGTATCTTTGGAATATAATTCTGCAGAAAAAAAAAATTTATTTGCTCAACTATTTTATTGCATCAACTCTTTCTTTACTCTGTTTTTTAAATTTAAAATCTGTAAATATTAGGATTCAGAGTATAACAGTTTTGGTTATACCTATCATTTTAATTAATGTTGTTACAATGCTTTTTAAATTTATTATTCTGTTTTTGTCGGAGAAAATAGTAACTTCGTTAAGTCATGAAAAGTTTTTGGAATTCAGGGGTCTGTCTTGGTCTTTTTTAGAGGTACCTATTATGTGAAAATTTAGACATAATTTGTGAAATTTAAAAATTTTATTAAAAAATCAACACAAAAATATGGTAAAATAAGAAAATATTTTCAAAAATATTTAAATATTTTTCAAAAATATTTTCAAAGTATTTTGTGAAACTACCGTTTTTCTTTAAATAGAATTTGTGAAACTACCGTTTTTCCTAAAATTGAATTTGTGAAGCTACCGCTTAACGGCAGTAAATTTGCCTTGGACAGATCATGGATTCGAAAATCTAAAATGTAGCAGATACCCTGTATAATTAAATATGTAAAGAATTAATGTTTTTTTTTTGTGGGACAATAAGCCCTCGCTCACCTTCTTGTCTGCAAAAAAAAACTATCTCCTTAAAGATGTAACTTTGGCATTAATCAAAGTTAACGTTTTAATTCATTTTATAAAATAGAATTTTCAATATTTATAATAAAATATATTATTATATATAATGGAATATTAATTTTATATATAGAATGTATATATATGAGTAGAATATTCTTTAAGAAACTTATGTGTTTTCCTTTTGTTTTCAAAACTGTTGACCTCTAAAACTTTTTCAAGTAGATATTTTTTTATATTTTCCTAAAATCAGCTTTTATTCCATATTTTAAATTTTTTCATGTTAAAATTTTTTGCTTTTAAGAAATAATTGAAAATACTGAGATTTTAGTACTTTAGATAATAAGGCATATAACAGAGGTGGGGAACCTTTTTACCATTAGAGGCCACATTTAAATTAGGCAGCAATAAGAGAGGCCGCATAAGCTGATTGACCTAAGAAAGTGACTGTTGTGAAATTATTATAGTTTTTCTATAGATTTAACAATTTATTGCATTATATAGAAAAAATAAAATATAATACTACAAAATTTTAAATATAATATACATATAAAATAATATAAAAATATTATAAAAAAAACAATGAAAAATATTTTTTTATTCACTAAGTTAGTGACTTATTTGGCTTTGTTTTTTGTTTGACAGTAATTGTATATTTGGATCAAGCTTCGTAACACACAGTTTTAATTGATCCTCTAAATGTGCATCTGTAATTTGCGTTCTTAAATTTGTTTTTATTTTTGACATGAGAGAAAATGTTGTCTCGCAACAGTAGGTACTTCCGAAGCAGGAAAGTAAACGGCGAGCATGTTCTCGAAGGCATGGATATTCAACAGCATTTTTCCAGATTTCTATGGGATCCTTTTTAGCGTTAAAAAGGGATTTGATGATACTATCTTCCCCTAAATCAATTAACTCCATTTGTAGTTCTGCAGGAGCCTCGGATATATCTATTAAATGTGGTTCAAATGCCAGTTTCATAGCAGGAGTGTGCTCGTCAAAATCAGAANGTTCCTTATAAATATTAGTTATATGTTCCTTATATGTCAAAAATGCATAGTAATAAACTTTTAATTTTCTTAAGTATCAAAAAGAAAGAAAAATTTTTTTAAATATAAATATTTAAACAATTTTTGTGCAAAATTTTTCTGCACATGCATTTGAATATAAATTTCTGAGATTTTAAATCTGTTATTTTACCTTAATTTTAATTAAAAAATATTTTAAAACCTGCTGATTACCTATAGTATAATTAAATTTCAATATAATGCATGGCAACTGTTGGTAGTTTTGAAGTTTATATATTTTTTTGGCAAACTTAAGTTTATGACATTTTTGACGGTTTAAACCAGTATTATACCCTTGTCATGTCAAAAACCACTTTTTGACGTCAAAAACCCAACCCTGACTCATAGTGTTTTGACCAATGGCCAAAATTTAAAAAAACTACAGAAGTCGCTACTTTTTTTTGTAGTTTGCTGTATAGTGTGCTTTTTTAAAAAATGGAATTGTAGTTGGTAAGCAATACAAAATAATTTGTAGTGATTCCTGACAACTCCTTTTAGCTTGTCGAAGTAAAAGGGTTCCAATGCAATTTTTTGAATCTGATTGGAACAAATGTTGTGCAGGTCAGCAGACATAAAGAAACTGTTTTCGTGGCTGAGCTTTTTAGATTTTATCTATACTGCTCATAATAAATTATGACTAATTTATCAATTTGCTCGTAATATATCCATGCCCTCAAATGCAAGTGTACATTCATTGTCTAAATAAAGAATTTTGTTATTACAATGAAGATGAGCATATTTTTCTCTGTAACTTCAGAAGTATTTTATTACAAATATTTAATAATACTCTATTATTTCGTGAATTAAATATTTTCTGTAAAGTTAGGTTGATGTTGAAGGTTGAAAGAAATAATTTCCCAAAAAAATTATTTCGATTAGTAAATTTGCTCATGTAAGCATGAACAGATATTTCTTTATAATTTCTCATGTTCCTAAATAAATGTATTGTTCTAACTAACTTTTTTTTTTTTTTTTTAAATCCTATTATTCAACTTCTCTTTATTTTGAACATTAGTGCATAGCTGCCATCTCTATTGGATTTACCAGTAGACTACTGGATTTTACCAGTTTCTCCTGGTCTACTGGTTTAATTAAAATTCTCATGGATTTTGTACAGATTATTGATTGTTGAAACATTTAAATAAGTATTACTAACATAATGAAGCGAACCTCATTTATAGAAATTAGTTCAAAACTTTTTTTGTTCTAAATGTTCAGTTTATTTTTATTCAGAACTCTCTTTTTAATTTAAAAAATTCTTTTAACTATCTGATGGATTAAATGCCTATTAATGTTTGAAATCATGAGTATACATAGTACATAATATTTCAAATGTGTTTAGTGTCAATCATAACCGGAAAATATTGCAGTTTTTCTTATTTGATAACTATAAAAATCCTTAAAATTCCCTATGTGTAAAATACTTATTACATTATGTAACAATTATCATGAGATTAATCCATTAGATTTCGTAAAACCTTCTGGATTTTTTCCTATCCATGTTGGCAGCTATGTGAGTGTAAATTGAATCCTTAAGTCAAAATTTTTATCCTACTAATATTCTACTTAATTTTGAAAGTTATTTGTAATCACTACAGTAATAATAATAATAAAAAAAATTCATAGTTTTAGTTAACAAAGATAATCTCTCTTTTCCAATCACTGGGTTTAATGTAATTAACAACTTAGTTTTATTATAGATTTGTTTTGAGATTACTTAAAATAAAGGCAGCAACCAGTGCTCTGCTAAAATATTTTTCACCTTAATCACATTTTTCATGTGTTCCTTATCAAATTTTAAATCCTTGCAGGTCTTAAAGTATTGTACAGTGCAGAAATCTTTGAAGAGTTTGAAGAGGACGTGTCTCAAGCCTCTCAGAATAATAACATTCCTGAGATTTTAAGGTATTTGAATTCAGACCTCATGAAATGCAGATCTTCTGAAACTGTTACTAATAATAAAGAAATAATATCTAAGGGAACTTCACACTTTACTCACACTAACGTCTTCCAACCATTTATTTCAACGTCAGACTCTACTTACACTGCTACTTCAACTGGTATGCACTTTAATAAAAACCCTACAATATCTTCTCCCTTCTGAACTTTTTCCATCTCCCTTGCATGCCATCATATTTGCATGAGTAGCTAGTGATATTTTTTAGGTTTTGAAAATAATATTTTGTATGAAAAAACATTTTTTACATAGTTATTGAATATATGTTGTCTTTATTTGCATATTTATATTCTGTACAGTGTGCATAGCGTTTTTAGAAAGCGCTTAAAGGTGCTTGTTTTTACTTAAGCCCTTAATGGTACTTTTTTTATTAGAGGTTTGTAAAAAGTGCTTATTTTTCTATCTTTTAAAAATATTTTTTTTTTTTTTTTGCTGTATCAATTGTTGTTCTAAATTACAAAAAATTCATGATTTTCACAATTTTCTCTACAATATTTATCAGAAACTAGTTATTTTTATCATGATTAAGTAAAGTTTTTAAAAGTTTTTAAAAATGTTTTTGAATTTTATTGATTTTATGTCTACAAATTAAGAACTTTAAACAATAGGGGGGGGGGAGGAATTTTTATTACTGCACAGATCCTAGTTATGATTTATTTATTTATTTATTTTTGTAAAGTGATTAAAAAAAATTTTGAGTGCTTAAAAGGTGCTTATTTTTTGTTGAAAAAGCTGGCTACGCACCCTGTCTGTAGTGTATGTTACGTTTTTAGGGAATTACAAGATTTATTGCATGTATTACTGATGCATTCTATGGAATATTAAATGTTCAACCGAGATCTCCCTAAAAATAAAATTAAAAATCAAGAGGTTTTTTCAAAAACAAACCTTCAGTTTTGAAGAGCACTAATCTTGCTAAATATATTAATTATATTTAGCTAGGTTAATGCCCTTCAAAACAGATTTAAAAATATTCAAATAAATAAGAGAAATAATAGTATTTTATGCTGACTTAGCCTAAAAGTAATTTCCAATAGGTATGGTAATCTTAAATTTCTGTTATTGCTATCTTTTTTTCTTAAAATTTTAAATAAAAAAAGGGGACAACATTTTTGCAAAAATGGCAAGGAGGGTGCCTTTTCTTCAGTAAAAAGGCCGACAGGGTGGGCCACCCTTCTGCAATTGTTGAATAGGTGAATTATAAAGGGAAAAAAGTTCATTGTGTGGCAATTATTTTAGAAAACGTTATCAGGGTGTGTAGTGTTTTTGAAAAGTGTTTAAAGGTGCTTATTTTCGATTTTCGTTTCTTAAAAGCCCTTAAATGTGCTTTTTTAATTGGGTATTTTTGAAAAGTGCTTAATTTTCCGTTTTTCAAAAAAAAATTTCTTTTACTATGTTGATTTTCACTTCGAATTATGCAAAAAGACACAGTTCCCATTGTTCTATTCAACGTTTTCACAATTAATTCAACCCCAATCTATTTTGGCGTATTGTCAGTCTTATTTGTTGTCGATCTAGTTCGGCGTACAGAAACGCAATTCGTTTTACATTATTCAAAATTTCATGATTTTTGACAGGACTGTTAAAACAAGATAAAATCGTCGATTGTCAAGAACTTTCCAACCATGCCTAATTATGATATTTTTGAGTGCTTGAAAAGTGCTTAAAAGGTGCTTATTTTTTGTTGAATAATTTGTCTGGTTATATAATAGTAATATAATTATTATCTTTATATTATTTAATATTAAATATCTGCTTGTTTTTCCATGCCAGGTGAGACTGAACAACATAACAGATGTAAAAAATCTATCGTTCATGCTGATAACAGTTCGCCTCACAACCCAACCATTTTAAATCTTGTCAAACCTTCACAGATGGTTTCTTCAAACTCTTACATCACAGAAACTCAAAACAATTTTCAAAAAGATAAATCTCCACAGACGCATTCAAACAGGGAATCCGGATTCTCCCCAAAAACTATTAATCATAATCAAAACAACAGAAAAACAGTTCATAAAGTAGATTCTCGATTTAATTCTTCAGCACCATCAGTCCACGTTCCTGAAGAAATCACTATCGATGACAGCGATGAGGATGTTACATAGCCTATATGTAAATAATTTTTTTTTTCATTGACTATGATGTTTTAGTATCATCCTAATTAGAAAAAGTCATTATTATTTATTAAATATTTCTTGTTGGTAAAATTGCTAATCAACTAAATACATATTACACAGTAAATTGTTTGCAAAAATAGTTTTTTAACTGCTGAATATCAAGCTTCTATTTGTCATAATTTATTACTTAAAAGTTTATATTTCTGCAATTCTGTTCATATTTTATAAATTTAGATATTTAAGACTGTACTGGAGTCAAAGTCTGCTTCCTGTGTCTTCCATCTTAAGCTATATAAAGTCCACTTTTCTATTTATTCTGCTACTTATTAATGTTTTGAAATAATTTTTGTTTCATTTTATTCATTTAAAATTTTTTTATGGAACGAATTGGGCAACCAAATTTCTATTTTTAAGGTTGCTATTGCGACTTTGAAAAAGTTTTAAAGCAAAGCTAATAGTTACAATTTAAAAAATTGAAAATTATTTTTAGCGAAATAATATAAAGGCATTTTTCTATTTATTCAGTCATTAATTGTTAATATGTTCGAATTACTTATTGGAATCGCTCATTTTAGTCACTGAAATTTGTAAAATGAATGAAACTTAGTTACTAAATTTTAATATTTTGTTTAAAATTTACAATAGTGATTTTGATAAATTTCGAAAATGTTTTGTAGATAATTAAATAATTAAAATTTTATCCTTCCATTAAGGGAAATTTCAATGAATAATATGAAATAAAAATTCATCAAATATTTAGTGACTAAATAAATAGAAAAATAGACTATATTCAGCAAACAATAGGGTATCCTATGTGCTATATAGACTAAATCAAAAACCGGGAATAGAGCACAGTTCATTTACTTTTAATTGTGCTTTATTCTTTGTTATAGACTATATTTTCTCATAGATTAATATGGCATATGACACAAACAGAATCTGACTTCAAGATGCTTTTAAAAGCCTGGTGCTAATAAATGTCAATATTCAGTATTCTAATGTTTTTGTAAATTCTTAATTATTTACTGGTAAATGATTTTTTAAAAAATACTTATAGCTATGTTTTTGTTTAACTATGAGCTAAATAGAAAGTTCGTAAAAAATGCTTTTAGTTAAGAAAAATTTATTTTGTATAGGAAGAATATTTTTATTTTTTTTTTTTTCATAATTAAAAAATGTCTTTTTTGTAGAAACATTAAACACTTGTCATAATAATTTTTAAGCTAAGAAAGATGTTTAAGTTTTCCTGGACAAAAAAAAATTTTAACAGCTGTAAGTTATTAGCCTGAATAATCTACATACAAATTGTTTGAAAATCTAGTAAGAAAACAAAAAATAAAAATTTATTTCCGTTTAATTTTTTTTCTCTACCATAGTTATCAGATTTCTTTTCTTCAAGTAACAAAGAAACGTCTGGAGTATAGTGAATAGTGCACCATTTAAAATTACTGTATTAAACAAAAATAAATATTTATAAAGTTTCGAGTGTTTCGTAGTTTACATAAAAAATTTAACTTTTAAAGTGAATCAAATAAAATGCAACTGTTCGTTAATTCATGTCTATTTATTTACTAATAGTTAGCATTCGAGACTTCTTTTTTTTAATAATTTTCTTTAATTTCAGTCTTCTTTTTAATGATCAAAATTAAGTTAAAGGTAATACATCTTTTCAGTAAGTTAAATGCATTACATCTTTTCAGTTGTTTATATTTTTTATCAATATAGTTCTACTTTATTATTAACCTAAACAGTTCCAATTTATCATTTCAATTGTTTGTATTATATCTTAACTCAAATGTATTAGTAACCTATACAACCTTTATTTTGTTAACACTATATTATCATAACTTTTTAAAAATTTCAGTCTGTTAATGCATTTGTTGTTTTGTTTTAAAACTCTCCGTGTAAAAATTTTAATTCATTTTACATTCTTTGCATGGCTTGTAAGAAATGGGTGATTTGTACAATTCAAAATGAAAGCCAAAGACAATTTATTTTTGTTGTATGTCGATATCAATTTCCCCTACATACACCAAGTGTATATATTATTGTACTACCTCAGTGTTTCTTTTTTATGCACAGAATAAATTTAGAAAATTTTTCATTTAGCATTTAAGTGTGTCATGTACATAGCTTGTAAATATCATTGTAAAGTGTAAAGTTATTGTTACAGTTTTGATGTTACTTAATAATGTATGTATTGTACTGATGATTCTTGTTATTCAGTCTCTGCCGAATGCAGATAGAACCATTGTGATAAACCGTCCAATAATTATTGGCTTTGAGTTTAATGTGTATAACTTGTTTCCTTAGTAAGTTTTTCATGTATGAAATCTTTTCTATGTGTATTAGTTAATTAAAACAAATGATTTAATTTTTTAAGAGTAGGAAAATTAAAGTATTTTATAGCATACTTTCATTATATACACATCTAAATAGATTCATGCTTATCTCAGAAGATTAAAAAAAAAAAAAATTTGCTATGCGTTGATTTGAGTATTTTTTTTTAACTAGTCCCTTAGAATCTTGCAGTTCATTTGACTAATTTTTTAAAAAAACTAGCCTAGGATTGTTTTACATCCCCTTTTTTTTCATTCAAACTCTTGTATTACCGAGAAAAATATTTTTTATTCAAGCGTATTATTTTCTTTCATTTTCATACTTTAAATGATGTTATAATTATAAGTAAAATAAAATGATTTAAATATACAAGAATGTCAACTAACGGAAATTATGGTAAGCTATTAAAATAGATGGCCTGTGCTCAATCCTGTCTATATTGCCCCAATCATGCCATTGGTCTCAAAACTGTAGAGCTATGATTTGTTTTTATGTGCTATAGCTATAGGCTACAAAGCTGCATCAATACTCCTTAAATTTTCATGAATTTAGACTCTTAAAAATCATTGTAAAGTTTCTACAAAATATAATGACATACTTAATAAAAGTATTTTTTTCTCGCTTTCTTAATAAATTTTTTTGCCGTAGGATTCTATTAGAAAATGCTTTGGAAAAATGACTCCATTGTTATAGTAAATCATATCTTCAAGTTGACATCCCTGTATTCATGTACTTCATTTTAAAATACTTTATACTTCTTTCTAAAGTAACTTTGTACTTATTTTTTAATTTATTTAATAGTATTTTCTTTTTTTAACATTTCTGTGCTCATCAAAAGTAAAGCATCTAAATTTCACTCTCATTATTGCATTTTTTATATTTCATTAACAGTATAAAATAGTTTTAATCTATTTTTTTAAAGCTATAAGTTCTACTAATTGGTAAGCAAGGAAATAAAACGATTTTTTCTGAAATTATTTGTAATTATATTTATATAAATATTAGCTTTCTGATTTTGTATGACATACTAATTGAAGTAAAATGAATTACAAACCAAATTTTTATTTTATTGATAAATAATATATAACTATAATATTTGCTGAACAAGTTATGTTATTTTACTGATTTTTTGAAATTAGTACTTTTTGCAATTTATATCTTAAAATTACTGAACTACAGGCATTTATTTTTAAAATTTATAACTTATTTTTTAAAAATGTAAATTTTAATAACTCAGTTGAAGTAGTCCGATGAATTTCCAAGTTTAAAATTTTTTATTACTATTGATAAGTAATACTTAAGCTGTCTCTTTTGTTTGTATTTTGCATTAGCTGTTACAAACTTTACTAGATTCATTTTCACGTATGAATAGTTTAAAAATAGGATTAGATCAGTTGGAAAATTATTTTTGGTATGTGTGATGATTTTATCGTTATTAAATAAAATTATGCAAGAACTATTGATACTTTAGAATTTTTCAATGTATCTAATCGTCCAAGCACAACAATAGATAAGCGATAGTTTAGAATTATTAAACTCCCTCTTATGCCTTTTTTTGTATTGTAAATAAAAACTATTTTATCTTTATAAGTTTTGTGCTTTATTTCATGTCTTATAAAAGTTTTTATAAGACTGCAGAATTCTCAATCAAGCTAATTGCAGGCTCGGCTCTTTTATGTAACTTTCCATTATAATGACGAATGCATAAAATCCTAATTGCTATTCAACTATGCACAATATAATCTTAATATACATTAGAACGTCCACACTGAGCCTACTGTGTTTTTTTCTATCCATGTTGGCAGCTATGCCATATTTTCTTTGATATTACACAATACATGTGAAACATCTTGGATCGCCTTTGAATGAAGGGAGAGTTATGTGACCCCATACAGCGATAGCTACAGAAATTCCCTGGTTTCAAAAAATATTTTTCCTCGGTGTAGCTTCCGGGTGCGTAGCATTTTTGAAAGGTGCTTTTTTTATTCGGGGTTTGTAAAAAGTGCTTAATTTGCATCTCTTAAAAATGTTTTTTTTCTTGCCTTGCCATATCGATTATCGTTCTAAATTACAGAAAAATTCACACTTTTCTCTGCACTATTTATCAGAAACTAGTTATTTTATCATGATTATGTAAAGTTTTTGAATTTTATTGATTTCATGTTTATAAATTAAGAACTTTAAACGATAGAAAAAAAAAGTAATTTTTATTACTGCACAGATCCTAACTATGAATTTTTTTTTTTTTTGGAAAGTGATTGAAAATATTTTTTGAGTGCTTAAAAGGTGCTTATTTTTTATTGAAAAGTCTGACTACTCACCCTGATAAATATATATGCAGTACAGAACCTGTTATCCGGAAATCAGAAAACTGGAACGAAATTCAATAATTTTCCTGTCATTTTTTTAAAAAAATTTCCTCGAAAGATTTCAGAATTCTTTCTTTCTTTTTTAAAAGATGTTTACCATCATTTTAGAAATAATAATTAGCTCCCTACACTGTCAAAAGAAGTACGAGTTTTTTTTTAAATTATTCTAAATATACCTATATATATTATTTTAGTTTAGTTTGACAATAAAGAAACGGCTTTTTGTAGGGATTCAGAAAACCGGAAAAATCAGTTATCCGTAATAGTGATGATCCCGAT